GGAGACTTAAAACAGACCGAAAGCATGGATTTCTAATTGATTTTAGAGGCCTTGTAGAAGTTATTTTTTTTTTCAAAAATTATTGTTTTTCCAAAAATTAAAATTTTTAACATTTTTTGGAATTTTTTAATTTTTTTTTAAATGTTTTTTGGGGAATTGTTGAAGTTATTTGTTTGAAGATCCATGGATGTTTATGCTAATTTTAGGTCACTTATAAATGACTGGAAGTACAGAGTTTCTTTTTCGAAATTTTTGAAGATCTATAAAAACTAAATAACCTCAATTTTTAAAATAATCTAAAAAACCTTTAGAGGCTTAAATGATTTAATTTTGAAACTAATTTTAGGGGACACTTTGTGGCTAGAAAGCAGAGAAATTCTCTGAAAAGTACTTTGAACTTTTGTAAAAATACGCCTTCAAAATATTGAAAAATCGGGTAATTTAAAAATTCATTGAAAATCCTTTAAAAAATCATTTTTTTTAATAAAGTGTGTGGCGATCTACAGAGACCCTCAGGCATGGATATTTAAAGTAATTGTTTGGCACTTATATTAGAAAAAAAATTGGAGACTTTTTTTCAAATATATATTATATATATATAATTTTTCAAAATGTTTTTTTAGGAATTGTTGAAGTTCTATTTTTGGAGACCCATGATGCTCAAAGGGCTGGATGTTTATGCTAATTTTAGGTCACTAATAAATGAAGTTTTTGAGATATTTTTGGAGATCTATAAAAATTAATTAATTAATTGTTAAAATAAATTAAAAAACCTTAAGAGGCCTAAATGATTTAATTTTTAACATAATTTTAGGATACCAATATAGACTAGAAATCACGCATTTTTAAATAACTAAAAACATTTTTTTTTTTTTTTTAATTTAAAATTTTAATTTTTTTTTTGCATTTTTTAAAATATTTTTCAAAATGTTTTTTGAGGAATTGTAGAAGTTCTATTTTTGAAGAGCCATGGTGCTCAAAGGACTGGATGTTTATGCTAATTTTAGGTCACTAATAAATTATGTTTTTAAGATATTTTTGGAGATCTATAAAAATTAATTAATTAATTGTTAAAATAAATTAAAAAAAACCTTTAGAGGCCTAAATTATTTAATTTTTAACATAATTTTAGGATACCAATATAGACTACAAATCACGCATTTTTAAATAACTTTAGGATGTCTTTAAGCGTGGATTTTTTACGAAGGTCTTCAAACGTGGATTTCTGATGGAGGTCTTTAAACGTGATTTTTTTAAATAATATTAGAGGATCTTTAAGGCTCGGTTTTTTTTACAATTTTAGAAGAGCTATAGAGTTCAACAGGGTATTTTTTTTAAAAATGTTTGGGCTACTTTTTGGGTTCTGAAATTTTAGTTATTTTTTTTTTAATATTTTTTTTTAATATTAAGGTCTGAAATTATGTATTTTTTTAATATTTTTGGAATACCTAAAGAAATTTGAAATCGTGGCTTCTTTTAAAGCCTAAAAGGATCCTATACAATTTAAGAATACCTGTAGTTGTCCGAAATGGTGTTTTTTTTCATAATTTAAGACGACCTATAAAAGTCCGAAATTGTAATTTTTTAGAAAAATTATTTTAGACGACATATTGACATCTGAAAGGGTGGAGTTTTTAAATGGCCTAAAAGGGTCTTTAATGACCTGAAAACGTGGATTTTTATGCAGTTATGAATGTCTATGGAGGTTCGAAATTGTGGATTTTTTCAGAATTTTAAACGACCTCTAGAAGCCTGTTGATTTATTAAATACATAGTGTTACAGGTTTTCAATGGTCCGAAAACTTAGATTTTTATATAAATTTAGAAGATCTATAGAGGGACGAAAATGTGGGGTTTTCCATATTTTTACAAGACCTATAGAGATTTGAAAACGTGGATTTATTAAATAGTGTTAGATGGCATACAAAAGCCCAAAAACGACGAATTTTAGGGCATTCAATATTTTTATAAAATTTTAGAAATTATGGATTTTTTCATAATTTTAGACGACCAATAGAAGCTTGACAGCGTCGATGCATTATATTGTGATAGAGGCTTTTCAAGGACCCGAAAGCGAAGAATTTTAGGGGATTCTTTAAGAAGACCTATAGGGGTCTTAAATTGTGGAATTTATTTTATAATTTCAGATGAAGAATTTTCAATATATAATTTTAGGGGATTTATTAAATAGTGTTAGAGGGTCTTCAGGTGCCCGAAAACAATTTAAGACTATCTATAGAGGGCCAAAAAATGTGGATTCTTTTCATAATTTTAGCTTTTAGCTGAAGAGCCTTCAGTCTGAAAAGCGTTGATTTCTATACAATTTTAAAAGACCTATAGAGTTCCGAAATTGTAAATTTTTTATTAATCTTATACCTATAGAAACTTGACAGTGGGGTGCAGTAAATATTAATAAAGGGCCTGAAAGTGACGAATTTTAGGGGATAATTTAGGAACGTAAACGCAGAGGTCCTGAAATCCACGGATTTTTAAATAGACTTAGTAGAAGACCCAAAACGCGAGGATTTTCAATGCTTCAAAACGTGCGTTTTAAAATATTTCGATTGAACCTATTTATAATGTGTTCAAGGTCTCTTGGAACTACGTATGAAACTTTCATTCTCCAAATCCTTTAGTTTTAAAAGAACTTCAATGGCAAGCCTTTCATTAAACTGAACTGGGTTTTTACGTTTTTTTTTCTAAGTCGATTCATGGGAGGATTCTTTTGAGAGAACAATAATCGCAGAGATTTGAAGGAATTCTTAGACCCCCCCCCCCCTTTATTAAAAAGGGATGGATTTTTACAGGAATTCACAGAGGCTTCAGCCAGCTTAAAATTACGGTCTTCAAAGAAAATTAAACAGATCTTCAAAGCTCATACCTTGTGGATATTAAATAAATTTGGAAAAAATATGCCTTAATAGGAAAAAAAATCGTGATTTCAAAGGAGGCTGCGAATCCTGAATTTGAAATCAACAATAATGTACTATTAAACCTCTGAAAATTATCCACAATGTTCCGCTATTTAATACTTCTTTGAAACCATTCAATAATCCACTATCCACTGGACCTCCGAAGGCCGCTATTAAAATATTCGACGACCTGTGGAAGCTTGACAGTTTAAATGCATTTAATAATGATATAGGTTCTTCAAGGGCCCGAAAAAAAACAATTTCTTTCTTTCCAACCAATTTAATTTCTTTAAAGACCTATGGAATCCGAATTTGTGAATTTTATTTAAAATTTTAGATGACCTATGTGAGCCTGAAAATCCATGAATTTTTTATATGGTCTTCAAGAACTTCGAAGGTCAGCCTTTCAACAAACTAAACTGGGCTTTTACGATTTTTTTAAGTCGATTTATGTGAGGATTCTTTTGAGAGAAAAATAGTCGCAGAGATTTGAGGGAATTCTTAGAAACCACCCCCAACCCCCCTTCATTAAAAAAAAATGGATGGACTTTTACAGGAATTTATAGAGGCTTCAGCTGGCTTAAAATCGCGGGTCTTTAAAGAGAACAGGGTATACCTGATGGATTTTTAATAAATTTGGAAAAAATATACCTTAATAGGAAAAAAATCGTGATTTCAAAGGAATGATGGAGAGGCCTTTCGGCTCCGAATCCTGAATTTGAAATCAACAAAAATGTACCTTTAAACAAGTTCCACATTGTTCCGCAATTTAATATTTCTTTGAAAACATTCAATAAACCACTATCCACTGGGCCTCTGAAGGCTGCTATTGAAATATTCGATCTTTTAATATCTTTAAATCTCTCCATAGGCCTTAAAATAGACAATTTAGGAAATCTTAATGACTCCGAACATTGGCCAAGGATTTTGACTTTCTTGGATTTTTAAAATATTTTATAAGGCCTTTAGGTTCTCAAAAATTTTGAATGAATTTGAATGTCAAGGATTTTGGCAGCACTTTGAGCCTTTGAGGAAAAAAATCCCTACAAAAAACGACAACGACCAAAAAAAGATATTTCAAGGAACATTTCAAGGAACAAGACTTCACAACTAAAATCCCCAACTACTTAAACCCTCAATTCCTCAGAAAAGGCGTCTCCCGAGGAAGAAATGTTTTGGATGAGAAGAAATTCAAAAATTCTTTCATGTTTATGTTCAATCCTTTTTTTCTCAGTGGAAAATTCATTCTTTTGAGTTATCCATATTTTTTTATAAATTTTCTTTATACATCTCACACTACAACAGTTAGTAATATTTCGGTTAATTGTGTTAATTTGTCACAAACATCCAAAAATGTGTTACCCTATTCTGTCAATGTGTTGTAATCGATCTTTTTATTATTATTATTTTTATCTTCTTAATTTTTGTTTAACTGGTGTTGGTTGTTTACCTCTGCTCCCGTCTGAGCCAGGCTTCCAGCTCGTAGTGTGAATAGGTTTTCTGGTATTTCATTTGTGTAACTTTGTGTTGTGTCCTTAATACCATGATGGGAATTGGTGGTTAAGATGCCCGTGTAGAAATGTTGTTGTAGTTGTTGTTGATAGCAAATTTATAGCACAAGCATTCATGAGAACCAACCTTTTTGTAATTCCATTAAATTTTGAGGCGGAGATCAACGGTTGAGGATAAATTCAATTCAGTGTTTTTGAAGATGTTTGTGGTACACTTTTCAAAATTTGTTGACACAAATCATATTTTTTATTTACACGCTTTGTAAGCTCATTTAAAAGTAATCCTTTTTGGCTTATTATAATATTATCTTCTTATTTTTCTTTTCCTATTTTGTTTATAAACCGACAGTTATTTATGGTATTTAGAGGATTAGTGTTACAGATCAATGTCCATGTGGGCAATCACAAGTTTTCCGACAAACAATTTTCATTCGAAATAATATTATTTTGTTGAGTCCTTTCCGTTATCGCACGCTAACTGTATATTTTTGCACACGCAGTGTTTTTGTGGTAGGCACACAACCGTTATTCAGCCAATCCGCTGAGCGAATGAAAGTGAAATTGAAACGCCGCGTACATTTTCTTACTGTTATCACCAGCCATCATCAACGTCATTATCATCATCTTCTCGTGGGCATCGTTGCTAGTCATGATCATCATTGTGATCAACTTGTTGTCGTCGTTCAGCGTCGTCGTCGTCGTCATTGGCATCAGCTGAAAACCACCAACCAACAAGAAGCCGCAGTTGGAATATGGCAGAAGACTGGGAAAACAAGACGAGTAGGAAATTTTTGAAAATTTTTTTTGGCAAAAGGGGAATTTTTAGGGCGCTACCACCGGGGCTGGAATTGTGGGCTTATGAAGAATATTCTTTCAGGACTTAACAAAAATTATTTTTCAGATCTCTTTTTTCATTGGTTGTGGATTTTTTTTTTAAATTATATGTATGACCTTGGACTGCATGTGGATTTTAAGCCTGGAGTGGATTTTTTAAAAAAATATTTGTATGGATTTAAAAAAATACATTTTTATGGCTTGGATGTGCATTTAAAAATAAAAATATATAATCAGGACTTGGATTTTTTTTAAAAATATATATATATATATATATTTAATGTCTGGATTAGATTTAAAAAAATATTTTTATGTTCTGGACGTGGATTTAAATATATTAATATATATTTTTACAGCCTTGGGTTGGAATTAGATTTTTTTAATATTTTTATGAACTTGGACTGGACGTAAATTTTTTTTAATATATTTATGAACTTGGACTGGACGTGAATCTGAAAAAAAAAATATTTGTATGGCCATGGACTGGACGAGGACTTTTTTAAGAATATTTTTATGGCCTTTCACTAGACGTGGATTTTTTTTAAATATTGTTCTGGCCTTTCACTAGACATGGATTTTTTTTTTTAAATATTTTTATGACCTTCAACTAGAAGTGGATTTTTTTAAATATTTCTATGACCTCCAATTAGACGTGGCTTTTTTTAAATACTTTTATGGACTCAGACTGGACGTGGATTTTTTTAAATATTTTTATGACATTAAACTAGAAGTGGATTTCTTAAAATATTTTTTTTAATATTTTATTTTTTAGACGTGGCTTTTTTTAAATATTTTTATGACCTTCAACTAGAAGTGGATTTTTTAAATCTTTTATATTTTAAACGTGGCTTTTTTTAAATACTTTAATGGACTCAGACTGGACGTGGATTTTTTTTAAAAATAGTTTTATGGCCTTCAGCTAAACGTGGATTTTTTTTAATATTTTTATGTCCTTCAACTAGACGTGGATTTTTTTAAAATATTTTTATGGCCTTCAACTAGCCATGGATTTTTTTAAATATTTTTATGGACTGGACATGGATTTTTGAAAAATATTTTTATGGACTGAACATAGATTTTTTTAAAAGCACTTTTTAATATTTTTGGCATTGGATTTTTAAAAAAAAAATTTTTATAGCCTAGGACTGGATGTGGATTTTTCTAAAAATAAATTTAGGGACTGGGAATGAATGTGGACTTTTTTAAAAATATTTTTTGGCCTTAAACTGGACGTGGATTATTTTTTAAATATTTGTATGGCAAATATTTTTATGGCCTTCAGCCGGACGTGGATTTTTTTTAAAAAAGATTTTTATGACCTCAGACTGGACATGGATTTTTTAAAAAATATTTTTATGAACTTGGGCTGGACGTGGATTTTTTTTAAAATATTTTTATAGATTTGGAAGACACGTGGATTATTTTTTTAAAAAATTTTTATTCACTTGGAATGGACGTGATTTTTTTAAATATCTTTATAGTGTTCAACTAGACGTGGATTTTTTATTAAAATATTTTAATGGACTTAGAATGGACGTGGATTTTTTTAAATATATTTCTATATACTTGGAATGAACGTGGAATTTAAAAAAAATATATTTTTATGGACTTGGACCGGACGTGAATTTTTTAAAAATAATTTTATGGACTTGGAATGGACGTGGATTTTTTTTTAAATTATTTTTATGGCCTTCAACTAGACGTGGATTTCTTAAAAAAATATTTTTATAACCTAAGACTGGACTTGGATTTTTTTAAAAAACATTTTCATCACCTCAGACTGGACGTGTATTTTAAAAAAAAAATATTTTTGTGACTTCAGACGTGGATTTTTAAAAAAAATATTTTTGTGACCTCAGACGTGGATTTTTTTAAAAAAATATTTTTATGAAATCAGACTGGACTTGGATTTTTTAAAAAACATAATTTTATGAAATCAGACTGGACTTGGATTTTTTAAAAAACATAATTTTATGATCTCAGACTGAATTTGGATTTTTAAAAAAACATTTTTATGAAATCAGACTGGACTTGGATTTTTTAAAAAACATAATTTTATGACCTCAGACTGGACGTGGATTTAAAAAAAAGTAATTGTAAATTAAAAATTATTAGAACTAGAAGTAAATTCAAAATAAAAATTATTAGAACTGGACGTCGATTTTTTTTCTAAAAAAAAAAATAAATATTATTAGAGCTGGCCGTCAACTTTTTTTTTTTTTCTAAAAAAAAATAAAAATTATTAGAACTGGCCGTCGATTTTTTCCCAAAAAAAAAAAAAAAAATTATAATAATAAATTATTAAAAAAATATATGGCCTGAACTGGACTAGACAGAGACGTGGATTTTTTAAAAAAAATTTTTTTGGAAAACATTTTTATGTCCTTGGATGTGGAATTGTTAAAAAAAAATTATTTTCCAAAATATTTTAATGTCCTTGGACGTGGAATTTAAAAAACAAAAATGTATGAAAAATATTTCTATGGCCTTGGACGTGGAATTTTTTTTAAAAATAATTTTTGAAAAATTTTTTATCTTTTCCCAAGCACCAGTCAGATCGTAGAATTGTTAAAAATATTTGTCCAGGTCAAGCTAAAATTGTTTTTGAAATTGAATCTTTTTCCCAAACACCAGTCAGATCGTAGAATTGTTAAAAATATTTGTCCAGGTCAAGCAAAAATTGTTTTTTATTTAATAGTTTTTTTCAAAATCCATCTTGGATACGATCTTAGGTTTTTAAAATAATTTTCCAAGGACGAGAAATAATAAACGATTATTTAAAAATTATTTTCAAAAGACACAGATAAAATCATTTTTTGTAAATAGCTTCCCAAGGACCCTTAGAATCGTAGTATTAATAAATATATTTTTTTAAATATTTTTTTAAATTAATTTTCAATCGCCCTTAAAAATTGCTGATTTTTTTAAAAAAAATATTTTCCATAATCGCAGATTTTCCAAAACAATCCATTTTTATGGAGCCCTATTCATCCGAATAACCAACCATACCCAAAAGAGAAATTGTAGCGAAATAATTGAAGCAAGTAAACAGCTTCCGAAAGGTTTAGCAAAGTTGATTTGCCACTCGAGCTGTTGTTGGTGGTTTGCTCGTTATTGCAACAAGCCAGCCAGGCAGGCAGTCAGCCAGCAAGCCTAGCTGGCAAGCCAGGCTGGTTATTATGACGTTGTTAAAACTCAATTGCGCAATTGTTTATTTTTTCTTCTTCTTCTTCGGCAGCTCCTTCAACATTGCCTGGGGCCTACAACATACGGGAGAGCATGCGTGGTGGAATTACTTTGACTCACAAAAGAGCAAGCAACAGCAGGCAGTCGTGATCCCAGGGTGAGTAAGGGAATACCCCCCGTCCAAGTCTTGTCTTCTAAAACCACGAAGCAAACAAACAAGTTTCCTTAACATGATTGTCATTGCATTTATTTTGAGTTTTGTTGCAATGTTTGTTTGTTGTTGTTGTTGGTGTTTCTGTTGTCGCTTGATTTCTGTTTACTTGGCTCAAGACTTGCAACATTTTGAACATGACCTTAACGTGGCTGTAAAATGCTACGAAAAAAAAACATTTTTTTTTTGGCAGTGGCATGCGGCATGCCACCACATGCATAATATGTGAGCGATTCCAAGGAGCAATAACAACAACAACAACAACATTGACTCACAGAGATCACCATTTTTAAGCAAATGGGAAAATTTTGAAACTGGTTTTCTTTATTATTTTCGCAAAATAGGATTTTTTTATTGGCCATTGTCTTGGGATGAGAAGAGAAAGCCCTTCTTGGATTAAAATCAAATAAATAAATGAAAAAAAAAAAATACAATGCAATAAAGGAAAGATAAAAACAACAATGACATTGGAAATGGAATTGCAATCGAAATTTATTTGTGTGGATTTTTTTTTATAAATTATTTAACAGTTTTAATTACCGCCAACGATTATCACTTGAGAAGATAATGAGGAAAAAAAGAAATGTGGGATATTTGGGAGGAAAATTGTTAATTGGGTCTTAAGTTGTAAATAATAAATAAGCAGCCAGACTGTAATTTTAAATTATATGATTGTAGTATTGAAAAATATTTGACAAATACTGATATAAGAGCCACTGAAAATATGTTTAAGCAAATTTCAAAAAAAAAAAAAAATAAATAAATAAATAAATAAATAAAAAAAATTGAAATGTGTTTCGAAAAAAAACCTATAATTTTAGCTTTTTAATAACCATACAATTGTTACCTCTAAAGTCCTTGGAAAGGACCACCATTTCGAACGAAACAAAAACAACTAAATCCGTTAAAAATTCTGTTAAAATCTTAAAAATACCGAATATAGCTGTCATATTAGGGTCTACACGAAGACATGGAGCTGCATAGGTAACATTATATGGGGGCTATACGAAGACATGGTCCTGAACAGACAATTTTCTGTCTTGGGCTCTAGTATCCGTTACGAACTTAATATAACAAATTGTAAACAATTTCGGTAAATAATGTCGGTAAAATCATCAAAATAACGAATATCGGGAGGTACCTTTATATGGGGGCTATACGAAAAAGTGCACCTGCACAGGTAATTTTCTGTCTTAGGCTGTACTATCCATTATGAACTTCAAATATGAAATTTGAAATAATTCTGGTAAACAATGTCGCTAAAATCATCAAAATACCGAATATCGGAAGGTACCGTTATATGGGGGCTCAACGAAGAAGTGGATCTGAACAGACAATTTCCTGGCATAGGCTGTAGTATCCCTTACGAACTTCAAATACAAAGTTTGAAATAATTCCGGTAAATAATGTCGCTAAAATCATTAAAATA